TTTTTTTTGTGAGGAAAAATATAGAGAAACAAATAATAAAAAATTTGTAATTTTCAAAATTAATAGAAAACATTACCTTGTTTAGAATGGAGTTTTCAATAATTAATTGTTAAAAATTGGTGATAAAATTTATTTTCGTTTTAGAATGTATCCCAAACACGACCAAATATTACTTTTGTCGTTTCTTTTAATTCTTCTCAAAACTATAGGAGACGAAAAAATAAATTCGTCAGAAAAAAAGAGGTGCCAATTTTTTTTCTTGTTGGCGCCAATTATTTTAGCTCATTGGAGACGAACATTTTTGTCACAAAAATTAAAGATTTTTGCGACAAAAGAAATTCGTCACCAATAAATTCCAAACTTATAAGATGATGTCGTGTCATTTTCTTATTTATTTGGTGACAAATATATTTTTTGTCTGGGAATGATAAGTTATGGGAGACGAAAATATTTCATCACCAATAAACTCTTCATGCTCGTTTTATCTTTCTGTTAATTAGGTGACAAATATATTTTTGTCTTGGAAGGATATGTTTTGGGAGACGAAAATATTTTGTCACTAATAAATTCTCCATGTGTCGTGTTGCATTTTGATTGATTGCGCGACGAATATTCATCTCATAAGGTGAAGTTGAAGGAGACGAAAATATTTCATCACCAATAAATTCTCCATCCCCACACAACGTTGTTTTTGTATTTTTGTTAATTAGGCAACGAACATATGAGTTTAAGACAAAAATATTTTATCACTAATTATTTCTCTTTATTAAAATGTCGTCAGAAACTAAGAGGCACTCTCACCTTAATCACTTACTTTCACACACACACAAATACTAAAATCGTGACCCGAAAAGACACCCTCTACAAACCCTCATTTTTCTCTCGCACTTGAGTCTCCTCTCTCACAAGTATTGAAGCTGTGACTCGAGAAAACAATCTCTATAAACCATCTCTTCTATTTCGCATTGAAGCTCCTCTATTCTCTCTCACATTTAAGCCGTTTGTGCATGCAAACATTATTATCCAAGAAGCCGTTTTGTGCAAAGCTATTATTCTTTCTCACAGCAAACCCCTCTCCACAAAAAGAAAATAATAATAATAATAATTAAACAAGGAAACAAAATATAAGAAATCTAGAATATTATGACAAAATTTGGTGATGATTTTTTTTTGTTTTTTTGTTTTTTTGGTATTAAAATTTAACCTAAAGATGATAAAATATTAATTTTGTCGGTTGTTTTAATTTTTCTCAAACGTATAGGAGACGAAAAAAACTTTCGTCTCCAAAATTCAAGCGCCAATTTCATTTGCATTGGCGCGAATTATTTTAGTTCATTGAAGACGAACATTTTTTATCACAATATATATATATTTTTTGCGACGAACGTAATTCGTCACCAATAAATTCCCTACCTATTAAACGATGTCGTTGCATATTTCCATTTATTAGGCGACAAATATATTTTTGTCTAGGAATGATAAGTTATGGAAGACGAAAATATTTCGTCACCAATAAACACTCCATCATGCAAACGATGTCGTTTCATCTTTCTATTAAATGGGCAACAAATATATTTTTGTCTCCGAAGAATAAGTTGTGGGAGACGAAAATATTTTTCACTAATAAATTCTGATTGATTGCGCGGCGAATATATTTTTCGTCTCATAAGGTTATGTTGTGGAAGACAAAAATATTTCGTCACCAATAATAAATTCTCTGTTCTTGTATTAAAGGAAACAAAAATATTTTATCACTAATTATTTCTCTTTATTAATATGCTATGGTTTTGTGTTTCGGAGCATTGAAACTGTGACCTTAAGAGACACACTGTGACCCTTATCACTCATTTTCATGTGCATGGACACTCAAGTTGTGACCCAAGAAGACATTTCTTGCAAACTCTCATTTCTCTGTCGCAATTGAGCCTACTCCTCTCTCACAAGTATTGAAGTCGTAAAGCAAGAAGACACTCTGTAAACCATTTCTTCTATTTTTGCACTAAAGCCCCTCTCATATGTCTCACACTTAAGCCCTTCATGCATGCTAGTATTGAAGCTATTATCCAAGAAGGCATCCTATGCAAAACCGACTATTCTTGCTTATAGTGAAAGCGCCTCTTGCAAAAGCACTCTTTCTTATTGTCTGAACCAACTCTACCCTTTCCGTCTAGAACACTCATTTTAGAAAAATCGCAGGTCAAAACCCCTCTCCACAAAAAAAAAAGAAGAGATAATTAATGTAGCTAGTTTTTTTTGTGAGAAAAAAAATAGAGGAAAAATTAATAATAATTTTTTAATTTTCAAAATTAATAGAAAACATTACCTTGTTTAGTATGGAGTTTTCAATAATTAATTTTTAATATAAATTTTTTTAGTGAACATTTTTTAATATTATATATATATATATATTTTAATTTTTAAATCTCTTTAATTTAGATGAGGGCAACTTGCAGCAGTTGTCCTGGTACTTTGGTCCTTGTGTCATATAAATGGTATGTGCCATATCTATATCTATATCTATATCTATCTACTTATATCTATATCTATCTATACTATATATTAAGCAAAATGAGGTTTTTAACTCATAGGTCTTGTGAGAGCTCCAATATCCTAATCCTCATTTTCTATTTTTTTGATTTTTTTCTAACCCCCAAGTCTTGTGGGAGCTCCAATCTCTCGATCTTAATTTTCTAAATTTTTTATTTAAAAAAAAAACTCAGCATTTATTGATTTGGTCAAAATCTCCTGATTAGGATTTATTACCTTTTTCCAATCCACATGTCTTTCCACATGCCTGCATTTATTGATTTGGTTAAAATCCCTTGATCAGCATTTAAAATCCTCTCATACAAATAATTATAGATACAATCTGTGCATAGTTACTGCAGTACCCTTTTCAACTTCTCCCATACATTATGATCAGGGATGAGATTGTTAAATTATGTTTATAAAAAATCTTAAAAAACATAATTTATGTATTAAAAAAAAAACTAAAACAAATATGAATATCTATAATTATCCTATGCATAACACGGGTGATAGGCTAGAATCTATCTATACTATATATTAAGCAAAAGGGAATTTTTAACCCCCAAGGCCTGTGGGAGCTTCAATGTCCCAATCTGAAATTTCTAAATTTTTTATTTTTTTTTAAAAAAACTCAGCATTTTCAAAATCTCCTGATCAGCATTTATTAATTTTTTTCAATTAATCTTAAAAAACATAATTTATATATTAAAAAAAATCTAAAACAAATATAAATATTTATAATTATCCCGTGCATAGCACGGTGATAGGCTAGTCTATACTATATATCAAGCAAAAGGGGGAAAAGATAAATACAAAACACGCAAAAATCCAAAGCACTTCAATTTACGACCCCTGCAGAACCTTCCTATTCTGACTATTGCCGGGGAAAAGATAAATGCAAAACATCTCTCTTTGATCAATATGACATGCCAAGGTAACCATTTTTTTTAGTCCAATAGATGAGTACCACAATTTGCCTACAAAAATTTAGATGCAGCATGAGTTGTACAAGCTCAGGCCACTAAAGTAGAGCATCAAATATTTAACATTACATGATAACACAAAAAAGTAGAAACCTAAGTAGTGGTCTTCTGCTTAGGAACTGCGTCAACACTTGAGTAGGCAGGGTGGAGCAGATGGCCTTTCTTGGGCTCAACATGCACCCACTTTCGTCCACTCAACTTATGCCGTTCAAACTTGACACAACCTTCCTTCATAGCATAGAGGGTGTGATCCTTCCTCATTCCGACATAGTTTCCTAGATGGAAGCGGGATCCTCTTCGGCGAACAATGATATTCCCAGGAATCACTCTCTGCACAATGATAAGAATATACTTAATGACGTGATAAAGGTTTATACGAATAGGAAAAATATGATATCAGTATTTGACTCACCTCTCCACCAAACTTCTTCACCCCAAGATTCTTTGGTTTTGAGTCTCGCCCATTCTTTGTGGATCCTGCTGCCTTTTTAGTAGCCCAGTGCCTGAATTTCAAACTCAATCCTCCTTCAGTAACATCTAAATTAAATGTAATAGAATGGTCAATAAAGCAACAAACCAACAATTTACAGAAATACCAAATTCTACGAAGTAATAGGAAATGTAACGCCCTCAAAATAAACCCATAATATCATACATTCAAGATACTGAAAAGAGATATTATATTACAAACATCAGAGTATTCTTACAAAATGTATTACATGTTGACATCAAAAGTAAATGCCCTATGGGCTTACAACTTTCCAAGCCAACACTTGGTTACAACAAGATAGTACTAACTCTACACAAAAATAAGCCCTTGGCTTGGTATACATGTAACACAACCACAAACACAAAAATGGTCCAACAGTCTTAAGCCTCCCAAGCTACGTCCTTGGAGGTGGCATGCTACCTGTACCTGAAAATGATGTCCCATATAGGGTGAGCCACAACCCAAGAAATATACTAAACCAAGCATAAACAATGACTAAAATAATAGCATTCAACAGATGGTCCACACCTATATTTCAACTTATATCATATTACGGTTTCATGACAATCATGTCCAAGTTACATTTCAGTTTCCATTTCTTATTCAACTTTAAGTTTGAAAACAAGGCTCAGAACCTGGCCAAATAATTTAATGAGATTATAGCTCATTACCACAATACTTTCGAAATTCATGATGGATACACATTTTGGTGCTGTATCAATAATACATAAAAATCACTTCCATACTTCACAATTGATACACATGGTAGTGCTGTATCAATATAACGAAACACTTCCATACTTCACAAATGATACACATTTTAGTGCTGTATCAATGTCAAACAATTTCCGGTTTAGAGGTCCATCCCCTATCTTCCCCTAAACCGTGGAGTACATCCCCTATCTCCTCCCACACAACACAATGTATATAAACACAGATCATATACATAATCAATCAATACATAAGGTTAATGTATTTTTCCACAGTCATATTCGATGACACATTCAATTAATTAGTTTTAGTTTGCCTAATCATCATGCATTGTCTATAACAATCAAGACTATCCTCCACCGATAGTCCAAAGCAGTTATTTCTAAACAGAAAATAAATGCACCAAATGGATAAAATATCAATATTTTACCTAGGTGAGCGATAAATTAATCCAACTACACCCTTTAATCCCATACCTTTCCAATTTGAATATCTCTTATTCAATTTCTCGTTTCCCAAAATTAACTATATGAATTAATTTATCACAGCAATTAGGGCTTTTTCCTATATTCACAATACCAACCCTAAGGTTCCATTTTTCCATCAATAATCCAACACCAAGTCCATCTTCCAATTTATTACGTACATAAAGGTTTATATGTTTGAAACCCTATCTTTTGAGAATTACACAAAGACCCCAAAACCTTCTCAAAATTACCCAACAATCCCCAACATATCAAAATGTCAAAATTTAAAGACAAAGCTCATAAGATGGAGTAGGATATCTCTACCTCAAAAGATGAAACCCAACGAAGGAGATGAAGAAAACGAAGATGCTCCAAATCTCAAAATTCTCGGATCAAAATGTAGCCCTCGATGATCAACACACTTTTTACAGAGGCCAAAGGGTTAGATATTACTCTAACTAGATCAAACCCTAGAGAGAAGTGGAGGTTTTAGTGAGAGAAGCTCTCCAATGGCTATTTTGAAAAGTAAGAGAGAGAAATGGAGTTGAAAAAGTGATCCAAAAAGCTAAATCTCTAAGTGATATACACGTCTCCCCACTCGAGCGTGGAACTCCTCGCTCGAGCGTTAGACACAGACTCACGCTCGAGCCTCCAAACCCAGCTCGAGTGCCGGATACACGCTTCCAAAACTTTTGCAGAACCAGGTCCCCACTTGAGCGTAAAACTCCCCGCTCAAGCGTCGAAACTCCCGCTCAAGCGTCAAACACTGCAGAGGAAAGTACTGGGAGATGGAAATTTATGCTCAAGCGTCAAAACTCCTGCTCGAGAGAAGAAGCAACAATAAAGGGCCCGTTCGAGCGTCAAAATCCCCCTCGAGCGTGAAGGCCAAATTCTGGGCAACTACTTTTGGTTTCAAAGCACAACCAACCTGTTTCAAACCTGCCCAACACTACCCATGACTCAAATACGAAGAGTAAAGGATGGAAATGAGAATGAGACAATAACACATCCACAGAACAGAGTCCGGAATACAATAAATAAAGAGAAGCAAAACCAAGATCGCTATAGGAAAACTTTACCACTAGCAGAGTTGAAGATAGGAACATTTGCAACTAGAAATTGGAGGGTGTAATCAGTTTT